ATACTTGATGTGGGTCCAATTATTTTGGGTTTTTCTAATAGAACATTCAGCCCAAGCTCAGACAGAACTCTTTGGTGGAGAAAAAGGGCAGAGGCAAAGTTTGTGGTTACCTGCCATGACCAGGGGCCCTGGTCTCATCAAAAACATCTACCTTTAACTCAACCACACAATGAGATGACCTGGGCTGTCTTTTAATATCTCAATTACCACTGTGTGCTCCTTCCTGTGAATCACCAGTGTTTTTAAAAGATATATAGCGCTGAAAGGGAGAATGTTCATCCAGCTTTACATATAAACAACAGCAGAATTAAACTCTGACTTGGAAGGATGCAATAAGAATGAACAAAATTAAGCACTGGAGCTGGCTTTTCTGAATGAGATGCCCCTGGAGGTCTTTTCATGCTGTGTTTTGACATTATGAAACTTCTTGAGTCCCCATCCTTAAGGGAAAGGCAGAATGATTTAAGTCACACTGCTGCTTCCAATGCAAATGAGTACAGCCTTAAATTACATATTAAACTGAAACAACGCTGTTTTCTTTGTTTAACAAGAGCTTGTAAACTCTTCTGCATGAATGCATGCATCCTACCACCACATATCCTGTATAATATTTCTGTGATAATGAAATTTAAGATGAATTCACAAAAGGTAAGAATGAACAAAACTAACTATAGGGCATAGCCAAATTAAATTCTTATGATTCATTAAGCAGCTATTAAAATAACCCACTAAGTCTAAGTTACTGGGGTAGAAAACAGTGTATCTGCACATCACCAGTGAATTGCTTGAGCTCAGCCTTGCCCAGCAGGTATCCATTTCTGCCAAGTCATGCAGGGAGCAAAAGTCTCAGCCTGGAGCTCCTTCATCCCATTAGTTGATGGAATTTTTAAAAGGGATGGTGTAATCTGGAGATCAAGCGGTTTCTGTCCTGGGGCAACCCTCTGGCAAAATGTTCTGGCAGAATAGGTCCCTTTGAGCATGCTTTGTGCGAGTGTGAAGCGCCATCTTCTGGTTAAGCGAAGCCTAACATGAAGGGAAAGAAATGGTCTGTTCTCATCCCTTCTGCCTCCACACACTCTTCTACTTGAGTTAAGCAGCAATAGAGGTTTGATGCTATCGAGTAATTATTATTTAGAAAACAAAAATAATTCATTTTCTTATAATCAATATGTTGATCACAAATTCTTGTGGATTCACTAATATCAATGATAATTCAAGCTAATAAGTTGCAAATTGACAGTGTACAAGTATTCTTTTTGGCCCACAGAGTACTTTCTTCCATCTTATTCTATTGAGGTATGGTTCACACATGCAGTGTAGAGCATGAATCTTCAGGGTGTGGTCTGATGCTCGGTACATTACATTTGTACGTTTTTACATGTATATAACACATGTAATCATTACCCAGATCAAAATATGGAAGTTTCCAGCATCCCAGCAGCCTTAGTCCTCCCTCAGAGATGACCACCATTCTGAACTCTGCCACCATATATTTGTAATGGCATCACTAAAGTACAAACTCCTAGCCCCAAACCCCCAGAAAGAATTAGAATGCTATAATTACCATTGTAATAGTTTTTCCAGAATGTTCCTAAACATTCTGGGCTTAATGTTTGCTTGCAGAGTCCTGGTGTCAATGTTCTTTCTCTCCCCAGTGGAAATTCCTAATATATTATTTTTCTTCCCTACCTTGTCACTGAGAGAGACATCTCTTTGGTGTACTGAGTATATTTTCCCAAGTGTCCCTTCAGGCAGCCAAAGCAATTTTTGAAGAAATTCTGTGGCATCTCAGAGGTGCCACTTGACTGTCATGGCACAGCGGGTGAATTCTGATGCAGCATTTCAGAAATGAATGGGAATGCCTTGTTGCCCACAGCTGCTCTGACACCTTGTTCAAATTAAGCCAAGCAGTAGCATCTGTCCTGTAGTTGTAATGGTGAGAAAGGATCTCAGCTTATAATCCAGCCAAGCCCACTTAATAATGAATAGCACAACACAATCACTGTTGCTATTATACACCACCACTTTCCATTCAAATGAAACTAAGTTCTCTCTGAACATCAAAATATATAGTTATATATCAAGAAGCAGAGCCAGTTTTGAAATGAAGTTGTTATTTCAGAGCTTTCTTGCATGTATTCGTTTATTTGATTGTTGGATAAGCAGACACACATTCAATCAACAACCATGGTAGCAAACACGTTATTTTCTGGGTGTTTTGCAAGATGTCAGAAACAAAAGTGAAAGATGTGCGGGTCCTCCCACATTGCCATGAGTGGAGCCTTGTTTAGCCTGCAGGCTGGCATTTAAGGGAATCACTACCTCTCTTAGAATAAACAAGGCAGCAATATAAGCATTTTTCTAATGTAGCCCTTTTCACAAATGACTTGTATTTTTTCTAATTATTTGTCATGACTTTGGAAAATAGAAAAATGTAAAGAGGAATACATAAAAGAAAACTCTTATTGTAATAGCTTCAATTAATTTCTTTTGTGAACTTATCATTACATCCCCCTCCCCCTCTCTCTTTTCATGTGTACTTCTTGGAGTTATGTTTTATACCATATTTTCCTCTAACATTAGAAATTCTCAAAACACTAAAACTTTGAGTGACGTCACAATTTCTGGAATAAGAATGAAAACTGATTTATTAACCATTCTCTATTATGGGATATTTTTATCATTTGCTGTTTTTACAATGCTTATAGATGTTTTGTTTGAAATTGAGTCTTTCATTTCCTGCCATACTCAATGACCATCTAGAATCATGTTAATTAACAATGGCAAAACTGGCTGTCCCTGGTTTGTTCTTGATTTCAAAGGAATTAAACTGGTATGAGAGAGTTAAAAACCGTAGTCTTTTGAGTTCTAATTTTTAAACATCAAGAGTAGAGAATTTAACATTACCAAGTATCTTTTAGGCTGTTGAAATAATTAGATTGTACTGATTGAATGGATATGAAAATTATATTAGTTTAATGTAAGTCCTCCTTCCTCAGAGTGAATACTATTCTATCTTGCATTACTATACTTTTAGCAAATTGTCAAATTAAATTCTATACTATTGTGTTTAGTACTGAAGGACATGTATCTGTTATGCATTGTTCTTTAGAGATGACTGGTTTAGCAAGATTAAAAATAAACTTTCAATCATTTTAGTCTATAAGTGGGGTTGCTGAAATGGAGGGCAGGCAAACAATTTGTGTCCCTTTTTCATCCTCCCTTTTCTTCTGACCTCTCATCCCAGTTGTCACAGGGATCTTCCTTTTGTGACTCCATGAAGTACTTTCCTTAACCTCTCTCTAAGATCTCATCAAATCGTTTCTTAGTTTTGAATTCTCCGTATTGCCTTCTGTTCTCATATGAGTGGTCCATGTCTTAAATTTGAGAGTTTCCCATCCAGCCCCCTTAGCCAGCAGTGTCCTCCACCTCACCCATCCTAGAGAATCAGATTGGTCCCAACAATGTGCTGAAGTGACAGGGATGAATGGCGCTTAGATAAGTTTTCTTGTGAACATCTTGTGATCTCTGAACCAGCCCTGTGCCCACTGAGGAGCAGAGCAGAGGAAAAAGCAATTCCAAAATTATGTGAGTACCATGCTGCTCTGGGCAGCAGTATGGGTCCAGAAGACATAAGTCACTTTCCAGGGACATGGCAAGAGGACACAGACAGAGACCAGAGCAGGCCCCAGGACTGGCCCCATGTGTCTGCTCCACGTGGCTGCTCCATCTAGTTTTGCTGTAATGATAGAGAACCAGCTACTCCAAATAATGTCCCCTGACTCATATACTACTCCTATATACTTTTAAAACTAAATACATTCCTTATGCTCTAATAATTTTTGTTTAAAAAAATCCTCTGAATATTTATTTCAGGACCTCACTTCAAAATAATGTCTTTCAAGTTCAATTCTTTCCCAGGAAAATTCCCAGTCTTGCAAGATGAAGGGTCTTCTAGTTGCCCCCACACACTACCTATAAGCCTGATCCCCCACATACTCTAATTCCTACAGTGTGTGGCAAGTGGTTTGCATTTAACTCGTGTTTCTGAGATTGATCTTTTTTTCATGTACAGTAATATTCTTGAATGGTATTATTCATACTTACTGAAGGGCCAGAAGCAACCTTAAAGGATCATGCAGACCTTTTCACAAGTAGTCAGGTATGGAATTGCATTCAAAAAGAATGAAAATGAATGGAAGAAATGGTGACAAAAATGAAGGGGAAATCAAATGACCCAGCAATTCTGGTCATTTACTCAAGATATGTGTACTAAAAGAGTATACCCATGCTCTTAGCAGCATTATTTGCAATAGTCAAAAGGTGGACATAACCCAAGTGTCTGCTGACAGACAAATGGATAAGCAAAATGTGGCATATGTATATATAACTCAGCCTTGAAAACAAAGGAAATTCTGACACTGGCTGCAACTTGGATGACCCTAGAGGGTGTTCTGCTAACTCAATAAACCAGTCACAAAAAGACAGTGATTATATGATTCCATTCACATGCAGGGTGGTGCCTAGAGAAGTCAGGTTCACAGAGGTGGGAAGTAGAACAGAGGTTCTGCTGGGGGCAGAGAGGACTGGGGATGGGAGGTGATCACTTTTGCAAGAATCTCAATTTTGCAAGATAAAGAGTTCTGAAGATGGATGGTGATGACGATGACACCACAAGGGGAATTGACTTAATGCCACTGAATTGTACATTTAAGAAGAGTTAATATGGGAACTTTGTATTATAGGTATTGTGCCAAAATTTTTTTTAAGTGAACAGGGGAAAAAGTACACTATTAGAGCAAGAATCACAATTCAAATCAAACCACCAGGCCAATGCTCCAAGCAACAAATCTTCCAAGCACCTTCTCTTCAGACCACCCTTCCTGGAAAGAAGTGGTTTGGGGAGTTGTTGGCCTTGTGCTTCCAAGAGGTCACTAGGATCCCTTGGAGAGCAAAGTGAAATGCTAAGTTCAGTAATACTTTCTTCTTCTTCTTCTTAGGGTGTTAAACACCACATTATTTGAGAGCTGGGAGATCGTTGGACCTTACCCTTCCTGGTGGGTTTTTAACCTACTGCTGTTGCTAATACAAGGGTTGAACTGCTTCTGGTCTTACCTGATTGTAAAAATAGCTTGCAAAGCTGTTTCAAAAGGCAAGGTAAGCTAAAACTCACTTTTGATATGTCCCAGAAAATTTTGTGGATTGGTTTGTTTTGTTTCTCTGAAACAACTATTGATTTCAGATTTCATTGAAATTGATGTTGTTTCTTCCAGATTGAGCAAAGCCACATGGAAATACAAACTAAATTATTTTCTTCCTTTTGGTTCACTTTTGAAGTCCTTATATTGCACTAATGATGGTGTCCAGTGATCTGCATGTGAAGGTTTAGTTTAAATGATGGTGTATCATTTGTTGTATTCTTTCTCTCCTCTCTCTGTCTCCCCTGGTCCTTCTCTGACTATGTCTTTACTGAACAGAAATTTAACAAGTTCTTTCCTTTTTTTGAGAAGAGTTATTTGGTGCAGTATGCCAATTAAAAAATATATGTGTCTCAAATTGAAAAAATAAATACTTTCATGACTTGTCCAGCAACATTTAGTTAAATCTCTCTATTGGAAGTGAACTCATGGGGCTGACTTGCTTAAAGCTTCCTTAAAGTTTCCTGAGCCTCAGTCCCTTTGTGTAGAACAGTGACTTTTCCAGATTGTTCTCTATGACATTTTCTTACTTCGTTGTTTGTTCTCTTCCTCCTGCCACCCTGGAAGGCTGGGAAGTGGAACCCTTTACATGTAAGTGTCTCATACTTTCTCTTTCCCTTACCTGGGTGCCACGTGCCTGTTGAAGGGACCCTTAAATGCTTTTGCTTCATGCATATTGTGTGTCTCATCTGTCAGCACTGACTAGAGGCTTCATGTAAGGCGTGGTTTCCACTTAGCTACAAAGAACATTAGGAACAGCTCTGCCCATGTGTATGAGCCTGCAGTCTCTTAAATTTTGCATGATCCAACAGAGGAATTTCTTTCATTGGTGTTTACCATGTTGACCAAAACACAGACCAAAGTGAAGTGGGAGAAATAAAACTAGTTGAGAAGTTGGGGAGGATCAATGTTTTGCAGAACAGAGGCCTGGGGATCAGCTGTCTGCTGAATCTACACAGCCACAGGAGAGCCCTTGACCTCCTTGTCCTCTTGAATCCTCACAGAGCTGATCCCCGCCCCCTACCAGGGGAGACGGGGCATCTAGTCATGTACAGTGAAGCCAGTTCTCAGCATCAGCTCCCACATATATCCAAAATATTTTGATCAATTAATGGCTTGGAAGCTTAAGTTTATTTTTCCCTGTGACCTCTTATGCTTTAAGACGAACATGTATATTTATTAAAAATTGATTTGGGGGAGTGGGTATAGGGGATTTAACCCTTGGACATTTAATCACTGAGCCACATCCCCAGCCTTTTTTATTTTTTATTTAGAGACAGGGTCTCGTTGAGTTTCTTAGGATCTCGCTAAGTTACTGAGGCTGGCTTCGAACTGCAGTCCTTCTGCCTCGGCCTCCCAAGCTGCTGGGATTACAGGCATGCACCACCATGCCCAGCCTAAAAATATTTTTATGCTCATTTGGATACAGATTAAAGCAACATGCACAATACCATAAGCATGATAATAACTAAAGATACAGAGGGTAGGATGGATTAAATAACTTGTATCTTTTTCGCACTGTTGTTTCCACCTGATGTATCCTCTTCCCTCTATCTTCTATTCCTTATTGTATCTAAATTGCCCTTCCTTTGAAGGTAACATAAGTATAGATTTTTTCAACTGCAATCAAAAATAATCTCACTAGCCATGCAAATGTAAATTCATCACTCTCCGCAATTTTCCATTAGAAGCTTAATTTATGACTAATGGACTTAGAAACCTAGTGGAGCTCTACAATAATGCTGTCTTTGTGATCCATGTTTTTAAAGCTGATATCATCTCCATCACATTGATGTCTCAGTTCTTTCAGAATGGTCTGTGTGAGTTCAGTCTCGTCTCCAGGGAAACTGGAGTGAGGTTCATTTACTCCATCACTGGTTGGAATGGAACTGTAGTTTCCAGCATTTACTTTCTCCTGTCCCCTCCTCTCCTGGGAGAGATGACATTCTCTCACAGTAATGGTAGCCCCTCGAGTGGTAGATTCCAGGACTCTCAGGTTGCTGTGGTGGTGGCACAGTAGAAGATACGATGGGAAAAAGCCCCCAGTTTATTCTGAAATACCTACCAGAGACACTGCAACCTCCACGACCCAAGAAAATCCCAGAAGACCAGATTGGAAGAATTTTATAAAGTTAGGCCAACAGGCCCTTTGGCCACCCCCCAACCCCCTTAAAAATTAAGTAAACTATGCTCAGTTATTCAAAGATCTTAAGATCTGGGGGGAAATGGTGACCATAATTTAGATTTATGGAATAGGAGTGTCAAGCTATTTTAATTTTTAAAACAATACAATATTTCCTTAATTTCCTCTAAAATAACTTCCTTGCTAGATAATAGGATCTTTTCATCCTTTATGGTAACATATAGATTGACATTCTGGTAGACCGAAGAAATTGACACTATTGATTGAAGAAATTGGTCAATTTGGGAGGATCTGGACAGTGGATTTTCCCCTGGAAATAGCATAAGCTAGACTCACCTAAAAGATTCTTAATGTTGCTTCTGATGCCATTAGTTGATATGTGATGTATAAAACAAAATTGCTAATTAATATTAGCAGACAGAAAAGCAGATTAAACCATCAAAGAGTGTGTTACAAAACCACATGGGAATGATTTTTTTTTAATGATCTAAACTAGTGAATATCTCTATTAGTTGTGGTTAATTGAGAGCTGACTTTAAATAATTCTCAAGGAAAAGCAGTTATTAGAAAGGAAATTGATGGTTTGTATCCAGTTTCTGTGATGCCATTCCATTAGCAGAGTATGCCACTTTTGAGTAAGAGTAGAATTCATGTTTTCAATATCCAAAGATACTTTAAAGAGGTCAACAAGTCCAACCCTGTGATTCCTAAATGCACCTACTTTCCTTTATAACTGACTTTGTCACCCAAATTGTATCTCTCCAGTGAAGGAGAATTTGTTACTATGGCAATGTTCTTATCCTCTTTGATTTTTTAACATTTGGATCAGTTTATCTTCATGTAAGATTGCATGTGCTTCTGAGCATGTCATACTTTGAGGTTTCTTAGAGGCTGGTTACACTTTCCATCTTGTGTTCTACAGGTGTCCAAGGATGATCGAAGTGATATTGAGTCTAGCTCAGATGAGGAGGACTTGGAACCTCCGGGGAAGAACCCTCACACCACAACAACTACCAATGGGACCGGTGGTACCAATGGGTATCTCCTGACCGGTCCTTGCTCCATGGATGATTAATTACTCAAAACTATACATCCCGAACAAAGTGAACTGTTTGTTCCTGGAAGTATTTAATAAGTTGCAAATGCAGTTCCTTTCATGATATCTCAGCAACAGAAACAAAAATTAGGATTATCAAAGCATTTTTGAATAGTGCACTGCCATATGTCCTGTTTGTGAATGAAGAAGAAATATCATTCTCTATATGTAGGCATGCTGTATGTATTTGACACAAGGGAACAGTATTTGCATTTGTACTGTCTTAGAATATTATTTATTTTTTTGTATTTGTTTGTAAATCTGTGGACAAAAAAAGGGTTTCCTCACTCCTTTTACTCTCCGGGTTCATGACAGTGAAGGAGATGCTCCATCTGCTTCTACCCCTCTCTCTTGCTGTAGTCCAGTGTGCTGTGAGCCTCAGCTTAGTTTGTCACTTAGCACAAGCAAAACCCAGCGCAGAACTCTTGAACAGCTACAAATAGGTTTGCTTTCTTTGTGTAACTGTGCCCATTTTGAAGTTTGCCTATACAGTTGGTGACCATTCTCCAGTGTAAAGTATAAAGGATGAACTAGGTTTTTAAAATGTCACTCATCATGGTCACTGAGCAGTTCAAGTTAAACAGGGTGTTCTTGGGGAACTGTTTTGAATTTGCATCAAATCACTTTGGAATATATTTTATTTCTTGTGCACGCAGCCAAGATTTCTTCATTGAATGTTGTGGCCAGTTGAGCTTTAGCCTTGTAGTTTACAGTTTTTTTTTTATTCTCTGTGATGAGGTGAGGGCTCTGACACTGAAGGAAGATGTCTCCTTAAGCTCATGGCTACAAATAAAGAAATTACGGTTAATGTTGGGAATTTGCTCCACATTCTAGGAGTAACAAAAGAGAGCACTGATTTCAACCAGATTTTGCCACTACCCTTGTGATTGGCACAGTCTTCTGTTATATCATGAGAAAAGAAGCCAAGTGTATTTGGGGACAGAAAAAGGAGTCTTTCAAGAGTTGGCAAGGGCCACTTCCAGGGCAAAGCACTTTCTTAACAAACAGCTCTCAAGGAAAAGCCTATCTGGTATCAGACTTGATGTTTTTATTTTGCCAGGCAAAATAAAGCCAATGGAAGATAACTGGCCCATTGCTTTTCTCACCCACAATGACATTCTTGTTTCTAGAAACTGGGCAGTGTTGCACTCCAAGTCCTTTTTATTAGCTTCTTTGAAGACTTGTTTATTTCCAAGAATTTTGTTCAAATGGAGGTATTTCCAGAAAGACAACAGAAAGTCTTTTGGACAATGGCAATATCAGTGATGAGGAAAATTACTGAATTATAAATCTCCATAAACGTCTATAGCAGTGTTATTTGTGTATGGATTAAAAAAAAATCATACACGTCAGCCAAAGATTTTATCTCTTTTCTTCTAAATTTTAATAAGAGGGAATAAAATAGGATTATAAATACTTATTTTACAAATGAAAAGACTGTCACCTAAAACAGGAATCCAAAGCAAAAATGCAGTAATATAAATGTGAGAATTGGCACTGTGAAGACAACAGCAAAATCTAGAGAGAGTGCATGTCCCATTGCTTAAGATCATTCACATTTAACTCGATTTTTTTAAAAACTTAAATCTTTGTGCCCACATTTTGCAACTAGTGAATCAATAGTTAAAGAATACTCCCAAAACCTCTCACTATAACATTAGATCTTTCCCTTACGATATAGTGTTTGTGGTATGGTCCATAGTAATAATCAAAGAGGCTTAGAGCTATGTCGGTTGTTCATATAGGAACAGTGAACTCATTCTGCTTGTGGAGCCTTATTGTTTTATTTCATGAGACAGACAAATGTCTAGAAGTGTAATTTGTGGATGGTGGAGATTGTGAGGCCAGTCACAGAACACCAGAAGTATTTAGTCATCAGAATAACGCTCAAAAACAGGCTTATTTTTTGTGGGGGTAAGGGAGTACCTGAGATTGAACTCAGGGGCTCTTGACCACTGAGCCACATCCCCAGCCCTATTTTCTGTATTTTATTTAAAGACAGGGTCTCACTGAGCTACTTAGCACCTCACTTTTGCTGAGACTGACTTTGAACTCATGATCCTCCTGTCTCAGCCTCCCCAGCCACTGGGAACATACAGCACTGCACCCAGCTCAAAAGCAGGTTTATGGGGGGGAAAAAAAAGCAGGTTTATAAAAAGTGCATGATAGCTGAATTTTGAGAAGGTGGAAGTTTCTCATCAACCAAGGTATAAACATAGTCACCTGACTTTAGTGTCTGGGAAAGTCCTCTGCAAGGGGGAAATGAACTAGAGAAACACCACATGTCCCAGTTTAACAATATGACAAGATTCAGCCCAGAGGAATGATTTAAAGATCATCTTATAATTTAAAGATTTAGAAGAGGTGCCTAAGATGAAGTAAATTGATTCCTGTCCTTAGCAAAGGCAGATCTAAACAATCTTTTGTTTTTCTCAGAAGTAACTTATAAGGATGACTGGGGACACTCAGTTTTACTGGATGACAACAACTAAACACAGTCTTCTACATGCCTATAGATTTTTTCATTTCATACCTTAGGGCAAAGTGTTGTTTTGGCTAATTAAAATGGAATGGGTAGGCTTTTTATGGTGTAGAATTATGTATCTCTGTCCACTGCTCTCCTATGTTGGCCTGATAAGGCTTGAGAGAACACTGCGTGAGGTATCTTATCCAACTGTGCCAGGCCATGGCTTTTGGAGGCGTATTTTGTAAATTCAGCTGTAGGTTAGTGAGAGTGTTGTTTCTTGTTCATTAGCCTGTGGTGATGTCTCCTTCCCCCTGGTCACATTCAAACCTTCCCCGGGTACCAAGGAGTATGTAGAAAGAACTCTAGAAAGAATAATATTTTTAATCTCCAGTGTAATAGCTTTTCTAGATCTCTTAGTAGGGTGAGAAGTAGAAAATCAAGTAGAATTTGGCCTTGGGTTAATAAATGATATAAAAGTCTGTGATCTATTGTATGTATATGTATGTTTCTCCAAAAACTGATAAAATGTTTGTCCAAAATATCATCAATTCATCTTTGTCCATATTTTTGTCATAGAAATCATCCACCATGTACAAGAGAAGCTTCTCTTCTCCTTTGGTCTTGCTCCCTACACAGCTGAGAGTAGTAGAACCCATTCATTCTCTTTGCCACAGGGCTATATATGGTAAAATACAAGTCATAGAGTGCCTGTGGTCACACAGAAGCCAAACATAGTTTATGTTTCCAAATTCAGTCCTATGGATGTTGAAAGAGTAGAGGAGCAACTATCAGTATTGGGGGTTATTTGAGTGTTCGTTGTAAAAAAATGCAAATGATTGTCACTTGCCCAGGTTTTATTAAAGTCCTACTCCTGGTGGGCTATCTATCATACAGATGGTATCCTGAGCTGCCATCAGATAATGCCACAGTATCTGATAAAAATGAAGGAGGCAGAAAAGGTAGTCAAGAGCAAGATCAGATCAAATCATCTTTAGTGAAAATGGCAGGTGAATCTCAAAATGTCCAGTTCTGTTGCCAAATTTTCCACTGACTACAGTCATGCCCATATGGTAACATTTTGGTCAACGTTGAGCCACATATATGACTGTAAGCCTATAAGATTATAATATAGCCTCAGTGTGTAGGCTGTACTATCTAGGTTTGTGTAACTATACTCTCTGATATATACATAATATTGAAATTGCTTACTGACTCGTTTCTTAGAATGTGTCTCTGTGGTTAAGCAACATATGAATATGTTTGATAGAGTTTGAAATTGAGCAAACTGAATTCCTTCCTCTTAGGTAGAAAGGATCTGAATCTTCCACTTTGTATTTAAATATCATGTTCCTTGGGCTTAGTAAAAAGTAGGACTTCATTTCAGCTTCTTGAGTCTTTGCTAAAGAACTCTTCAGAGAGAAATTTATGCCTGCTTATGATGACCCCAATCTATTCATGATTTTGTATTCGTAGTTAATTTTGTCTCTATCTTAGAAGCATTAATGCCAAAGTTGACTGAATATTTGAGTATTTCTTAATTTGACTTAAAAAAAAAAGTATACAGAATAATTCCAAAGGTGTTAAAAAGGTTCCGTTTATCAGTCTGTGTGATGGTGTTTTCATTATATCCAGAGAGATTTCAAGAAATCATTTGGAAATAAAAGCTTAAATGTTTTCATTTCATTTTGATATTTGAGTTTCTTAAGGTTCTAATAAGCTTGCTAATTGCCTTGTCTTTGGCTGATTTCTACTTTGTAAATACTTAATAATAGCCCAGAAATGTTTCTGACATCCCAATAAGGAAAATAAAAAAATTTAAATCAGATCTAAGTCAACCTGATGAGAAAGGGATCATGTGGCACTCTCAGGTTTAGGTAACTTGTTTATAAAAGGAAGATTCAGGGACCCTCAGCTGTTGCCCTGGCCAGCTAGCACACTGGCCACAGGAGGAATGATCATAAGCAGTTCATTAATTGCAGTTCTTGAAGAAAAGGCAACAAGATGTTTTTCTTAAATAACGATGTCCCCAGAATCAGTTGAGGTTTCTCTTGGAATGAAACTGTGCCATTCTCAGGTTGCTATGCAATAATTAGCACTAGTTCACCTGCCACCTTTTAGTTCTTCCTAGTGGTAGGCCAGAGAAGGTCCCTGGGATTTCCTTTGTGTGCACAGCACCTCCCACCCCTAGGGGGTGCTCAGTGGGTGCTGAGAAGCCCTATCCACTCTGCCATTTCAACTCCTCTAATAAATACTCAGAGGTAGCATACCTGATACTGCTTTTCATGGAGAAAACTGTATTGGAGAACATAAAACATCACAAATATTGTTCAGGAGCTCTGCAGACACCCAAAAGAGAACCTTGGTCTTTTCCAAGTTATTTCCAATTTAATTTCAATCCAAAGCCTTTGAAAGAGATGCATCACTAAATGGGCACACAGGGGAGACCCCATCAGGTCAAAGAAATTTTAAAAGTCTCTTCATCCAGATGTCTCCCCAAAACTCGAGCTCTCTCAGGATTGCTCAGGAAGTTAGCCTAAATCTGTATTGTTTATCTCATTCACTCACATTCCTTTCAACCTTCTGGAACCCTCCCTCCATGAAAGAAAGCCAGGAGGTTGTCATTTTTCTGTTTTTGAATTTTGAATAGCCTTTGCATCAGATGTATTCCCACACCTCTTCCTCTGCCTGATCCCATTTTTCTAGGGAAAAAAAAAGTATTGTGCACATGTGTGCATGCACCTGTAACACAGGTCCATGAGAGCTAGGCTTCCTAAGTCAGTTGTGTAGCCTGAAAACCAGGGAACAACAGCTGATAGTGTGGTTTCTTTGGCTGGTGAAAATTAGATTTCATTCCTTTTTGTGTGTGGTGTGCATATGTCCTTTTTATCTGCAGTAATTGTTTTAAACTGTCATTGTAAACCTGCCCTTAAAAAGTTAAGGATTTTCAAGATGAGCTGGAAAAAAAAAAAAAAAAAAAGCTCTATATTAGGAGCAATTATGTGATGATTCTGAAACTTCATCTTAGAGCTTCATTAATTTAAACATAGAAAACATTCTCAAGTTTGACACAAAGTTTCCTAAAGTCCCTCAGATCCTTGCTTGAGATTGTTATCAGCTCTGTCCACATAATCGTCATTTACCTCCATAACCATTCGTGTCATGGAAGGGGGTGGTGGTTAGTTTTTGGATTTGATTTTTTTTCGATTTTCAGTGAGAAATAGAATAAGTAACAAAAATCTTTCTTGTTTTCTTAAGACAATTCAGTGCTTGAGCATCTCTGTCAGAAATGAAATGATGTACTGTTAGCCTATTAGAATTATTTCATGTATTGTTATTGTGTTTTGCTGATTTTTATATGAAAATATAATTATTCATTCTTAATATCTGGAAACAATCATTATTATGAGGATCATTTTACGTTGGAAACACTTTCATAATAAAGATAAGTCTCAAGAGTTCAGCCTCAGTGTCCTTTACTGAAAGCGCTAACCAGCTCATGTTAGAAATCCATCACACCTTCCTGGCTGGGGTTATATCAGGGCTCACATCTTCGCAGTCATTTCATACAAACCTCCTCAATCCCAAGATCTCTACCATCATTGAGGAAGTAGTGTTATATTACGTTGTGATATACTATATTACCTCTAAATTAGGATATAAGGGTAGAGGGTGTGGCTCAGTGGCAGAGTGCTTGCCTAGCATGTGCAAGGCTCAGGGTTCAATCCACAGCAACACAAGAAAATAATTAGGATATAAAAACTTGAATGGTAAATTTTATGAAGCACTTCTTTCTGAAAAAAAAAATTTACTAAGGTAGCCATTTAAATGTCTGAGATTGTGCTGATTTTTCCTAACTATAATACAGGCGCTGAAGACCAACAGCCCAAAGAATATGAAACTGCCCCTCTGCATATTGTCTCAGAAGAGCTTGTTGATGTCTCCTTCTCTTTGCCTGGGCCCCACATTGTTAGACTCTTACCCTCTTTCTCTGTCTTTGCTGTGAAACTCTGTCTTGCCTAAACTTCTCTTCTGAACTCACATCATCTATTATCTCAAAAACCTTAAACATAGCACAAAAAATGGAGCCACATACTCTCCAACACTACCACCAATATTATAAAAAATGAAGCACAAACCCCATTTTCAATAATCTTATATTGCAACCACTCTCAACAATAATCTGCCTGCAAGCATAAGTTATTATAATAAATGTAACCACTAAAATTTCTCTGAGGCACAAAAAGATATACCACATGAAAATATATCCATTGAGAAACCATGTGCTCTTCAGACTCTGTTACAGGATGATCTAACACTGGGAGCATCTCTCCCACATGGCCACAGTGCAACTCAGCTTCTCTTTGACCCTTTCCTTATTGCCAGGGCTGCCACATCCAACCCAGGCATATGTTATTTCTTCCCCCTAATTCTGTTTCCACCAACCCTACAGTTGCTTCAGCAGGAAGAATGGCAACAACATCATCATAAAAAAGGGCA